TGAAAATAAAGAGGCTTCTGGTCACTTTAATGATTGCAAAAGTGTTTTTCCCAATCTGAATGGCTGAAAAGTGCCCTCTGTGCATCTTCATAATGCTTTTGTGTCAGCAGTGATTTTTAGGATAAATTAACATTGTGAGGCTCAGCATTTTATGTGGGGGTCTATGTTTTTATTTATGAGCAATAAATTTTCATCATATTCACATTGAGTGGAGCTTCTGTGTACAGGAGCAATAGAGGCAGTCCTCAAATTGTGGCCACATTTGGGAGCAGAATTTCTGTAGCTAAGGAAGGTGGCTGTTAAGTGAGACACACTCGATTTTATGGACTTTTGGCACAGCTGTTAAGTGAATCACTGCAGTTGTTAACTGAATCGGACAGTTGTTAAGCAAAACCAGGATCCGCCACTGACTTTGACAGAAACCAGCTTGGAAGGTCACAAATTACGATCACATGATCTCATCGATGCTGCCACTGTTGTAAATGCTTGTCAGTTGTCAAGTGCCCCAATTTTGATCCCTTGATTATGGGGACGTTGCTTTGGTTATAAAATGCAAGGGCTGATTGTAAGTCCTTTTTTTCAGTGCCACTGCAACTTCAAATGGTCGTTAAATAAATTGTTATACGTGGAGGAGTATCTATGTACCTCCCATTACCAGGCCACAGCCTGTTTGAAACCAGGACGTGCAAGTGATGGATGTGTGCGTGAGCACGAAGCTCCACTCGCACAAGCGGTGGGTCGTTGCATTTGCACATGACGCTCCACAAGCATCCACCCCTCGAGTGAGCGGAGCTTCGTGCGTGAGCGCAAGTGCCCTCCGCTCACACCTAAAGCTCCGTTTGCGAGAGTGGAAGGCGTACGCGCCCACCACTTGCACCAGTGTAGCTGTACAGGTTGGGGACCGCTGCAGTACTAGATGCCAAAGACCAGCAGCAAAGCAGGGAAAAGGTTTATTTTCCATTTTCTATTCTAACCTCTTCCAAATTGCCTTGAGGCATTTAACTACTTGGTTTGATCTCTGGGTACTAGACCTGGGTTTTTCTTAAAATAGGTCCTCCAACTTGCCTGGGTTATACAGTACTAAAATCCAGTTTCATTCCTTTCTAAAGCCAAATGCTCAAAAATAATTCAGATAAATAACTCCAAACAGATAGGGAGGGGCACACAAAAAAAGATAGATTCTGTAAAAATAGCCCATGGTCATCTACAGCAGAGGTCTCCAACCTTTTTGGTTTGGCGGCCCGGAAAAGGAGGCAGGCACCGATATGTGTGCGCGCATAAATGGGCTGCATGCAAGTGCATGCGCACAGACAAATAGCCATTTGCGAGGGCATGCGCATGTGCAAACGGGGCTGCGCAGCAGGACGCTATGGGCAGTACTAGTGCTGGTAGGATGCTTGGGTGCGGGGCAGTGCTAGCACCGGTGGAGTGCTCAGGACAGCTCTAGTGCCGGTGAGACTTTGGGGGCGGCGCTAGTGCCGGCGGGATGCTCAGGGTGGTGCTAGTTCTGGTGGGATGCTTGGGGCAGGGTGGCGCTAGCGCCAGTGGGATGCTCAGGTTGGCACTAGCGCGAATGTGGGGGAGGTGAGTGCACATGTGTGTGTGTGCGTGCACTGGCCATCCCTTCAAGCGGCCCAGTGGCCATGGCCCGGTAGTGGGCCGTGGCCCACAGGTTGGGGACCCCTGATCTACAGCCTATTCTAGGGAGAGAGGGAGTTGAGATGCTTTCTTGAACCATCCAGGAATCTTTTAAAAATAAACTTTAAAGTTAATGAACATCTAGTTTCTTTAGGGGTGGAACATGTACCTCTCCACATGCTGCTGAACCATTGCATCCAACATTTTTCCCACTGACTGTGATCATTAGAGCTGTCGTTTAACATAATCCAGTGATGGCGAACCTTTAGAGACCGAGTGCCCAAACTGCAACCCAAAACCCACTTATGCATCGTTGGGTGTCGGGTGGGTGTGGCCCATTGGGTGGGTGTGGCCCATTGGGTGGGCGTGGCCCATTGGGTGGGCGTGGCTGCAGTGGTAACAGCAGACTGGGTGGGACTAAAAAGTTCAATCAATCAATTCCAACTTTGCAAGATCTTTTTTTTTCCTGCGAGAAGTTGAAATTGACTGATTGATTGAACCTTTTTTTTTTTACACGGCGGCGGAGGCCTAAAGCGAAAAGGTTTCATAAAACCCAGCTGAAGGCCTAGGACTGGGGTGACGGTGCGCGTGCCCACAGAGAGGGCTCTGAGTGCCATAGGTTCGCCACCACTGACATAATCTATAGGACCCCATATTCCTCACTCTGTTCCATACAACCTATGGCTTTTACGTTGACAATTTTGCATTTGAATTTGTCCCTGGTTTTAAGACCTGTGTGTAAGCCTTGCTTTCCTTCCCTAAGAATCTCCCCTTGTGTTAAAATAGAACAAAAAGTTTCTAGTCCTTATCATAGAGGGTGTTCATGACTTACAACCATTCATTTAGCAACCATTCAAAGTTACAACAGCACTGAAAAAAGTGACTTGCAACTACTCGTCGCATTTATGACCATTGCAATATACCCATAACCATGTGATCAAAATTTGGGGTCTTGGCAACCGGTATGTATTTACAATAGTTGTAGCATCCCAGGGTCATGTAATCGCCATTTGCAACCTTCCCAGATGGCTTCTGACAAAGTCAGAATTGTCCATAGTGGCTGGGGAATTCTGGGAGTTGGGGTCCACAAATCTCAAACTTGCCAACGTTGGAAATGCTATCTTAAGAGGAACTGGAGCATTTCGCCTCTTGATTCTCCCCTCCTTTAATAAAGAGATGGGGGAGAAGGGGGGGAGATGGAATTAGGGGTTGTTAAGAGGTGCCTTAAAAATCTGTATTTTGCCCTTAACCTCTCTAGTTACTGTATTTTAAAATAGTAAGAGGAGAAAGAGGTAGTTCCACCTCTTCCAGAGGATTGCAATACAGATAGTCCTTGACTTACGACCAAAATTTTTGTCGCTAAGCGAGATAGTTGTTGAGTTTTGCCCCATTTCGTAACCTGTCCATCTTCTAAAGCTTTTCGCTCATCCTCTAATTAGGGTTTCTCTGCCTCTTAGAAGTGAGGGAGGAACATTTCCCTCTACATCAGGGCTTTTCAACCTTTTCACCCATTGTACCACTTTTAGGATATGGCAACATCCGAGTACCACCAGTCGCCTAGCAAGGTGTCAAAAACTCGATGACCAAAAAAAAGAGGAAAAAAGTGATAAAGTACAGGTAGTCCTCGACTTACAACAGTTCACTTAGTGACTGTTCGAAGTTACAATGGCACTGAAAAAAGTGCCCCCCAAGCCACAGCCGAGCAAGACACCTGCCTGCCCGCCCGCCCGGTGGCGCTCTTCCTCCTGTCCGAGGTTTCCATTGTTGTGAGCATTTCTGTTGAGGATTGGCAGCGGGAGTAGGGTGGGGGGATGTTTGGTTTTTATTCCCCCCTGTCTGCTGGGTGGTTGCAGCAGGTTTTGGTCACTTCACATGACCCTGGGACACTGTGACCGTCATAAATATGAATCGGTTGCCAAGCATCTGAATGTAAATCACAAGACCCTGGAGATGCTGCAACATTCCAGCTGATTGGCGCTTCTTCTGGGCTCAGCGGAAGCGCCAGGATCAGCGCTGAGCTCCAGCTGGAGCCTGGCGCTGATCCTGGCGCTTCCACTGAGCCCTGACAGCCCTGCAGCTCCAGCCGTCTCTCGCTCAGGCTTGTGCGGTGCTGCCACCGGTTCAGCTCATTCCCCTCCCCGGCTACCACTTTTCTAGGATGGTCGCGTACCACCTGCCAGGTGCCAATGTACCACAGGTGGTACCCGTACCACTGGTTGAAAAGCCCTGCGAGTCTATTGTGCATGATCCCTGATGAGATCCATCACCTTTTTTCATACTCATGGAAGACGGAGCAAGGAACTACATACATTTCTGAAGCCCCTGAACATCTTAACCCAATTTGCAACTGCACATTTTTTTCAAGCACGTCCTTTCAACCTTAGGGACCAGAAACTTGATTTGTGCTGTTTAACAGTAGGTCCTCCAGCCCGGAATTTGAGAGCACACTATTGTTTTTTGTGTGCTGTCAACAGTGACGTACAGCCCTACAACCCTAACTTTGTGCTTTTTGTAGTGCTTTCACAAGCTGTCTTGCTATTTGCTACAAGTTTTCTATAAGCCAGAGGTGGGTGCTAAATGAATAATTATGGGTCAAGGACTACCTGTACCACTGAGTAGCAGCCAAGGGCTGCCTCCACTGTCCAGTCCCCCTGGGAACATCAGCAGAACCTTCGTTTCATCCACTTATCTATGGCTCCAAGGGGTGAAGTTTTCTGCTATCAAAACCTCACTGTGTCCTGTGCTCTGGACTTCAGCTTGGCCCACTACAGGTAGTCCTCGACTTACAACCACAACTGGGCCCCAAATTTCTGTTGCTGAGACAGTTATTAATTGCCTATTTTACAATATTTTTTGCCACAGTTGTTAAGTGAATCACTGCAGTTGTTAAGTTAGTAACATGGTTGTTAAGTGAATCTGGCCTCCCCATTGACTCTGCACGTCAGAAGGTTGTAAAAGTTGATCACATGACCCCAGGACAATGTAACCGTCATAAGTACATGCCAGTTGCCAAGTGTCTGAATTTTGATCATGTGACCACGGGGATGCTGCAACCGTCATGTGAAAAACGGTTGTAAGCCGAGGACTACCTGTAGCTACAAATGGAGTGCTTTTGGACAAGGGAAAACGTGACCTCCATGATTTGGAGGAGATTCTGGGAGTTGGGGCGCATTACGTCTGAAAGGCCCAGGTTGGGGTAAGTCATAGAAAATCTACTTGTTATGGAAAGCTGTTTTTGTTTGACAGTGCAATTTCTTATGCAGCGATATATTTCTAAGCAAGACTAAGATTTATAAATAGAGTTCTGCACTAGCTGACATGTCCCTTTTGTTTTTCTCGTCTTCGATATTTCTGTCTTTCAGGATGCAAGATCAAAGCCCTGAGAGCGAAAACTAACACTTATATCAAAACACCGGTGAGAGGAGAGGAACCCATTTTTATTGTGACAGGGCGGAAAGAGGACGTGGAGATGGCCAAGCGAGAGATCCTTTCGGCTGCTGAGCACTTTTCTGTGATCCGGGCCACTCGCAACAAAGTCAACGGCATGGCTGGCTCCGTTCTGGCGCCTCCAAACCTCCCCGGGCAGACCACCATCCAAGTAAGGGTCCCTTACCGCGTGGTCGGGCTAGTGGTGGGCCCAAAGGGAGCCACCATCAAGCGCATCCAGCAACAGACGCACACCTACATCGTGACCCCAAGCCGGGACAAGGAACCGGTCTTTGAGGTGACGGGCATGCCGGAGAACGTGGACCGGGCGCGGGAGGAGATTGAGGCCCACATTACCATGAGGACGGGCTCCTTCATCGACATCAACATCAACAACGACTTTCATTCCAACGGCACCGACGTTTGCCTCGACTTGATGGGGGGCAATCCATCCAGCCTGTGGTCAAAAGCACCTCACCCTGCCCGACGGACTGTGCCCAGTTTACGTAATGATAACCTTGGTTCCTCGGGTAGTGCTACCTCGGCCACCGAGCCTTACTTCGGGGGCCATGTGGCTGAAAGCCCCCCTACGGGCTCCTTTGTTTCCAGCAACAGCAGTTACTCTTTCAGCGAACCCCCAGCCCCCGGACTGGGCTCTGATGACGGTGATTTTGGGTTTGACTTCTTGGCCTTGGACCTCACCACACCAACCACCATCTGGTCCCCCTTTGAGGCTCCCAATAACCCTCTCCAGGTCTTCAGCAGTTCTTCCACCTCCTCAGTGAACGGAAATGTTCAGAGACGCAACAGCATGCTCAGCACCACTGCCACGCCTCGGCATTCCCCCACCCTTCCAGAGCCTGCGGTGGCTCTGGAGCATCCTTTGGCCCGGCGCATCCAGAGCGATCCAGTCAGTGCCCTGGCCTGGCTGCCGGCCCAGGGCTCCATGTCATCCTTCTCCAACAGCACCGGCTACTCCTCCTCTTCCCCGCTACCAAGCAGCATCTCCGCCACTTCTGGCTCGCCTACTGATTCAAACAGTTCGGAACGGGCTCGCAAGAATTCCCGCGAGTGCATGGTGTGCTTTGAGAGCGAAGTGATTGCTGCCCTCGTGCCCTGTGGCCACAACCTCTTCTGCATGGAGTGTGCCATGCGCATCTGTGGCCGGGTGGAGCCCCAGTGCCCTGCCTGCCACACGCCAGCCACGCAAGCCATCCATATTTTCTCATAGCCACTGAGTGGGTGGGACTCACCATGCATTTACTGCCCCCACACACACACAAACACAAACACAAACACACTTCCTTTCCCTCCAAAACAAGCTCACAAGAACAACAAAGAACATGGCTTTTTTCAAACGTCTAATTGTTTATATCAACCTTTTTTTGGAAATCAGAACTTGTGAAAGAACCTGGAGGGGTGGGAAGGGAAATGGAATATGTCTTTTGAACCTTGCCTGGTGAAAGGAGATATGTCGAGGTAGAGAGAGGGAAAATAATATTGGTGGTGGGAGGGGAAGATGAGATAAGAGTCTTCACCATTTAGGGCAGCTTTCAGATGTGTCAGTTTCAACTCCCAGAATTCCCTGTCATGAGCACTGCTGAGAATTCTGGGACTTGGATACCACGCACCTAAGGGCTGAATTGTATTTTGTGCTTGGTAAGAGGACAAAACACAGAGCCAGCTTTCAGAGCTGGGGAAAAAAAAATATCTGTTCAAATATTGTTTACAGAATAGCTTTAACTCTCAATCCCAGAAGCACAGGCCGGGTTGGGTTAAATGTTTGCTGTTCCTTATGCCCTTTTTCCCCCAAACAGTATTTCTTTTTTGCAAAGATAAATCAAGCAAAAGTCCATGTGCACTTTTAAGATTTCTTTTTCTTTCTTTCTTTCTTTCTTTCTTTCTTTCTTTCTTTCTTTCTTTCTTTCTTTCTTTCTTTCTTTCTTTCTTTCTTCCTTCCTTCCTTCCTTCTCTTTCTTTGCTTCCTTGCTTCCTTCCTTCTTTCCTTCTTTCTTTTCCTTCTTTCTTTTCCTTCCTTCCTTCTTACTATTATTCCTTTACTCTTTTTGTATGCAGTTCTGAAGAGAAAGAAAGCGTGAACATGATTTTTCGTTGTTGGCAAGACAAGTGTTACCTGTATTTGGCTGGTCCCCCACATTATATAAATTGATATTAACTCTCAAGGGGGACCAATAAGCTGGAGGGAGAAGTCAGGCAGGCTCCCTTAGGGAGGGCAAAGAAGGAAAAATAAATATCAGCATAATACGCACACGCAAAAAAGTCTCTTTTTTATGTTGGACTTTTTAAAGTTTATTTTTTACCTCTGTGTATATGTAGGGAATTTCTAGGAAAATAGTTACTTTATTGAATAAATTTTAAGAACTAAAATATATTTTATTTTTTAAGAAAAGGGGCTTGGCATTGGGTGGGGGCAAGGACCAGACCCTAACCATCCAACGGCTAAAGTTCTGAAATATATACATATAAATATATATATATATTTGTTGATCTGACTTGACAGTTATGAAAATTGTATCCAGAGTTTTATTTTTTTTTTAAACTTCAAAGCCTTCTTAATAATAATAATGATAATGCTGATGATGATGATGATGATAATAATAATAATAAAAGACTTTTTACTATCTGACAATATGTCCTGGTAATCTAGTAATGTCACTCTTGGGAATTATAATTCACACGTTTTATTTGTCTTATAGCTTGCCTAGAATTCAGCAAGGTAGATTGCATCAAGAGGGAGGAGCTGGCCCAAAGTCAGCCAATGAGCTTCTGAGGGACTTAAACCTGGTCTCCCTACTCCTAGTCCCGCCCCTTCCTCACTACACCTTATTGGTTCATGGGCTGAGAAGGCGGGACTGGCTGTCCCTGCTCTTAGTCCAGTGTTTCTCAACCTTGTCAATTTTAAGGCATGTGGACTTCAACTCCCAGAATTCCACAGCCAGCATTGCTGGCTGTGGAATTCTGGGAGTTGAAGTCCACATGCCTTAAAATTGACAAGGTTGAGAAACACTGTCTTAGCCCATCACCTTAATCCCTGAATTATCCTGGTTCTTGGGCTGAGAGGGAGGGTCTGGCCCCAAGTCCTCCAGAGAGCCCCTGTGGGTCAGGAGGAGCACTGAAACCATTATACCACACTGGTTTTCTGGCGCTTTCCCCCCCCCCCCAGTTGTATTCTGTTATTTTATAGAATTCTTCCCGTAAGCCAGGGGTCCCCAACCTTGGCAACGTTAAGACCTGTGGACTTCAACTCCCAGAAGACTTCAACTTCCCCATGGCTGGCTGGCTGGGGAATTCTGGGAGTTGAAGTCCACAGGTCTTAACGTTGCCAAGGTTGGAGACCCCTGCCCTAAGCACATTCCAGATAGTCCTCAACTTACAACTGGTTGCTTAGCGACCATTCAAATTTAAGACAGGAACATCCAAACTGACAACCTGGTTCCCCAAAGTCCCAACGGCTATTCTCCCCGCCCCCCGCCCCCGTCACATGACTGCATTTTGGACACTTGGCAGCCAGTCTGCATTGACAGCTGTTTGCAGCATCCCAGGCTCCTGTGGTTGCAGTTTATGGGATTTTGGCTGGAAACCAGGGTTTACTTTCAGTTTTCAGCAAAAACCAGCCCGTAGCAAACAAGGGATTTGCTTAACGAATACCGCATTTGCTTAATGACCGTTAGGTTTACTTAACCACCACTGCAAAAAGTCAAAATCGGGTCAGTCATATGATGACCTACTTTATGACCATAATAAACTACTGTACAATCATAACTGCCAGGTTCAATTGCAGTCATAAGTGGAGGACTACTTGTATTTCCTTGAAAAAATGCAGGTAAATAGCTTTTCATCTGTACAGTATTTTTAAAAAGCTGTTTTCCTCCCCATATCTCTAAAACAGCCTCTCTGCCTGCACCTACTGGCTTTTACTGTACCTGACTGGCATATTCTGGCTTCTTACCTTTGTATAAATCCCAGAATCCTAAGGTTGTGAGGGACCGTGGAGGTCTTCTAGTCCAACCCTCCCTGCCCAGTGAAAAAAATCTTACACCGTCTCAGACAAATGGCTGCCCAATCTTTATTTGAAAAATCCCATTGATGGAGCACCCACAGCTTCAGGAAGCAGGCTTTTCCCTTTCTCATCTTTTAACTTCAGCAGGGGATGATGGGATCATTGGCCTGGGTAGGGAGTCTTGAACATTCTGTGGCCTCTTCCTGTCCATCTTCTAAATCTTTTTTCTCATCCTCTAATTAGGGTTTCTCTGCCACTTAGAAGTGAAGGAGGAACATTTCCCTCTATTATGCATGATCCCTGATGAGATCCATCACCTTTTTTCGTACTCATGGAAGACGGAGCAAGGAACTACATACATTTCTGAAGCCCCTGAACATCTTAACCCAGTTTGCAACTGAACATTTTTTTCAAGCACATCCTTTCAACCTTAGGGACCAGAAACTTGATTTGTGCTGTAGTACAGTAGGTCCTCAAGCCCTGAATTTGAGAGCACACTGTTTTTTGTGTGCTGTCAACAGTGACATACAGCCCTACAACCCTAACTTTGTGCTTTTTGTAGTGCTTTCGCAAGCTGTCTTCTATTTGCTACAGGTTTTCTATAAGCCAGAGGTGGGTGATGTATCAAGGATCATATTTAGTTCTTGGCCTAAATTAATACAGCTGTAGCAGGAAGGAGCTGATCAGTGTCCTTCTGCAGCTTCTTGCTTGAGAAACAAAAATATGCCAGAGAGAACAAAAGGTGAGTATCAGACATCAGATGGATATTCCTATCCACTTTTGGCTTAAATTCTTCTCTGCCTGAGGTTGTGATGCAAAACCAGGCAATCAGTTTGCTCATTCAGTTTGGATACCACCAGATCCAAGCAAAGAACTGTTTACAAAACACTGGGGGGAAAAACCTATTAACCATAGTGTAATAAAAAATGAATCAAGGTTATAACAATAAAGGGGTAACGATAATAGTGACAATCTTAAAAAGCCAATCTAAATAATACCAGTTAAGTTAATAAGATACACAAAGTGAAATAAATCAAGAAGGGAAGTGGCAATCAATTCAACCAACACTCGTTGGGAGAGTCCCATCGCAAATAGCTTCCCAAACATTAGAAGGGATGCAGCAAATCTTATTTCTCATGGGAGAATATTCTACAAGGCTACGAGACACGACTTGAGAAATTGTTTCTGAGAAATTAATCTCCACAAATGGTGGGGAATGTGTAGTTCCCTATATACTGAGTGAACCAGTTTAGGTAAGATGGACCTGCAGTTAGCAAGGTGCCAGAGTTTCTGTTGTTAAGCAAGGCACTTGTTAAGTGACTCACACCCAATTTTATGACCTTTTTGCCATGGTTGTGAAGTGAATCACTAGCTGTTAAGTGAATCACATGGTCATTAAGCAAATTTAGCCTCCCCGTTGACTTTGCTTGTCAGAAGCCAGTTGGGAAGGTCGCAAATGGTGATCATGTGACACGAAGACACTGCAACCATCATAAATACATGCTGGTTACCAAGCACTCAATTTTTGATCACATGACCATGGGAACACTGCCACGATTATAAGCTTGAGGACTGGTCATTAGTCACTTTTTTTCTGAGCAGTTGTAACTCATTTACTAAACAAATGATTGTAAGTTAAGGACAATTTCTATGGACACATGTAGGTGTTTGTGTGTTTTATGTGCTAAAACATAAACCTAACCTACTGTGGTTGAATTCATATAGCACATAGCTAAACTCTAGCATTGCTTATTATTTGCAGAGAATTTTGGACACAAAGGGACCTTGGTTATTATTTGTCCCAACTCCCTGTCCCTATTGCAGCGTCGCTGACAGATGGCCATCCAGCCTGTCCTCAAATGTTTGCAAAGTATACCATCTGCTGTGTTAGGCTGTTCTATTGTCAGCCAGCTGTTAGTAGGTGTTACCTGCCAAGAGCACGGCACCTGTGGTTTGGTCTTTCTACTACATGGTTGTCAAACTCGCCGCGTCACGTGACATGTTGCAACGTATTGTGACTTTTTTTGCATTGCCAGAGCTGGGATGGATGCGGCCTCCGTATGATGCAACCGGCCTGTGGACCGGCAGTTTGACACCCCTGCTCTATTAGGAATTTATTCTTGATGACCATTTGAAATCTGCTAAGGTAAACCACCATTTTTCATACATCCTCTCCTGATTTCACTTACCCCCACCCCCACCCCCGAAATATGAAAGTGAGTTCAGAAGTCTACACCCA